GCCGCCATTGGTTCTGCCGTCGTCAATGCATCGTCAACATCATCGAAACTCTCAGCATCGCGTCAACCGTTGTCGGCGTCGCAATGATACCGCGCGCGCCCGAGTCACCGACTCGGGCTGAAGTGCCCAGTGGGAAGCGCCCAGCTGTCAGCGCCACCGCGGCCGCGTCGGTCGAGCTGCATTAACTGGCCGCTGCGCGCACAACCACGCGCGGGCAAAGGCGGCCGCGCAGATGCACCAGCCAACGCCAACCCCTCATCGCACTCGCCTTCGCATGGGTTTTGCAAACCAAATTGCGGGCGGGCGGGTGGGATGATTGCGCGAGCAGTGGAGTCGATAACTCAATGCGAGCACTGGCGGCTTGCACCACGCAGATTGCACCACAGAGCTTGCGCAACATGGGTTGCCCAGCATAGGCGGATTCCACTACGTGCAACGAACAACGATGCACCAACGAGATTGCACAACATATATTCTCCTGTCTACAAAAAGTAATAGGATCGCCTCCCCGTTGAAACAAACGGCCCCCCTTTGTCGCATCGCAGTTCACATACGACTGTGCCCCAATCGTCCGGAAAAAAATGAATTCGCACCATCCCGGGCAGGCCGATACCGGCACCCCCCCTCACCCCGCGGAAAAAAATACGCGCGCCCACTCGCTTATCGAAGCACGCGCGCGCACTTCGTCGCTCGCGCGCGTCGTCGCGCGAGCGCGCCCAGAATCCTTCAAAAACGGTTGCCTCCTCCAGGAGTTCAAAATCGAATGCCTCGAAAACATATTTAAAAACAAAAAAAACATGGTTTCGAAACCAGGGTGTTCTAAAACAAGTGCGCTGGGGCCCTTGCGGATTTTTGCGAACGCCATGCGTTTTTCCCCCCTAGTGATCACAACATGCTACCAAGCGGGCCTCTCGCGCGCGCGCGACGGATTCGCTCGAACGCCCCCCCCCGCAGCGCGCGGGCCGTCGCGAGAATCCCTCGCGCAGAACGAGACGAAGTGCATGCGCGCGCATCTCGCGCGAACCGATTCGTCTCAAACACCTGAAATGTCGCGTTGGTTTCAAATAGAAACACTATGTTCTGCAACGCCAGATTTTCATAGATCTATTCATACACCAAAAAATGCGCCTGCGCTGCTGTGGGTTCTTGAAAACCATACGTTGTCTGCGCATGTTCATTGAATGCTGCTACACTGGCGGGCCCCTCGTGCCGCGTGCCAAAATCATTCGAGCGCCCTTGCGCGCGAGCTGGGGGGGGGGGGGGCGATCCGCGTCAAATCATACCACGCGGGCCACTCTAGCGCGTCGGCCGCGCGCGCACGTCGAACTCCGTCCACAACCTTCATCGCCGACGCGAGGACGCCGTCATCGTCGCTGGCCTGATCAGCAACGGCGCCGTCACTGGCCTTGCCGTCGTCGTTGTCATCATCGTCGCCAGCATCGCTATGAGCATACTCGTGTCTACTGCTGTCGGCGTTGCCACGGTACCGCGCCTGGCAAAGTCGCCGACCCGCGCTGACGTGCCAACTGGGAGATGCCCAGCGGTCAGCGCCACCGCGGCCGCGTCGGCCGCTGCGCGCGCGCATGCGCAGGCCAGCGCGGTCGCAGGGACGCACCAACCAACGCCAAGCACTCATCGCAATCGCCGCCGCATGGGCTCCTGCAAACCAGGTTGCAGGCGGGTTGGTGGGGCGATTGCGTGAATAGTGGAACTTGCAAATGTAGAGTCTCCGGTCTGCACGAATGATCTGATCTTCCCCCCCTCTTCATCGAACTGAACCTGTCCCACGTTCGCATTGCAACTTACACACGATTCTGCCCCATCGTCCATCATACATCTGAATTCATTTCACTCCGACTAACCCGGAAATTCCCTCCCTCGTCCTCTACAACCAATGCGCGCACTCGTGTATCAAAAAGAACGGAGGTCCATAAATCCATTGCAAAAACGAGACGATGTGCACATGCGCTCGTCGTGCGCGCATGGCAAAACAACTTAGGTTCCGCAGGGATAAAATCGAGCACACCGGAAGCATGACAGCATACTGCTTCGCTGCAGGGAGGATCAAAGAAAACTTGCGTTCGGTTCCCTGCGGGTGCGAAAACTATGAATGTTCCAACATGTGCGTAACATGCTACCACATGGGCCTCCCGCGCGCGCATGTCGGAATCGCAAAAACGCCCGTCGCGCTCGTGCTGTCGTAAGAACCCTTTGCAACATAATTAAAGACATACACGCACGCGCGTCGTCGCGCGCGCAATCCAGAATCCTTCACAAACCTGATGTTCCGCACAACTTCCAAAAAAAAAAAAAACAATCGCCCCGAAAACAAATAAACAACACGTGGTTGTGTACCATCAATTTTCGAAACAAAAAACTGCGCTCGCAGCCTGGCGAATTCCTAGGAGTACCTTGTGTCCTTCAGCATGTTCATTAACTGCTCCCACACGGGCGTCCCGCGCCGCATGTCGAAATCATTCGAACGCCTTTGCGCGCGTGCTGGGGGGTGGTGGGGGTGCGACCCGCGTCAAAAAACACCATGCGGGCCACTCTCGTGCGTCGGCCGCGCACGCATGTCGAACTCCTTCCGACACCTTCATCACCGACGCGGGGACGCTACCATCGTCGTATCAGTCACCAGCATCGCTACTATCATCATCGCGTCTATTGTTGTCGACGTTGTCGTTAAACCACGCCCGCTTGAGTCGCCGACTCGCAATGAAATGCCCGCGGGGAAATGTCCACCGGTCAGCGCCCCCGCGGCCGCGTCGGTTGCGCCGAACTATCTGGCTGCTGCCCGCGCGAGCATACGCGCCAGCGCTGCCGCGGCGATGCGACAGCCTGCGCCGAGCAGTGTTCGCAATCGCCGCCTTGGTTTTGCAAACAGGATTGCGGGTGGGCGGGCGGGATGATTGCGATTGCAGTGGAGTTGGCATTGGTTACACCACTGGGACTGCACCACGTAGCTTGCACAACATTTTTTGAAACGTACAGACTGTATCAAATGAGTCACAGAGCATGGGTTGCGCCACAGAAGGGTGCACGACATATTTTGCACCACGTAGCTCGCACCACAAATATTGCACCACCCAGGGTGCGCAACATAGCCTGCACCACATAGAATGCACTATTTGGATTGCAACACGTAGCCTGCACAACACATGTTGAGCCGCACAGATTGCACCACATGGATTGCACAACACACAGATCACCATGTAGGGTGCAAAACCTACAGCCTCCTTTCTCAATTAATATAGGCTCTCCCCCCTCCCCCTCCGGACAAACGGCCCCCCTTTTCGTATTGCAGTTTAAAATCGTTTCTGCCCCATCGCCCATCCGCAATATGAACTTCGACAATTCCAGGCAAGCGGGCAGTCCCCCCTTCATCCTCTGTAAAAAAACATACACGCGTACTCGATTATCACAAATATTCAGTTGTCAAGAGCACATTCAAAAAATGAAGCGATGTGTACACGCGCGCGTTGTCGCGAGCGCATGTCGAAATCGTACAAAAAAACAGCTTGTGTTAACGAATTCCACATCGAGTGTCCCGAAAAAAATCGAAATCACATGGTGTCGCAAAAAGTGCTCTCAAAAAGAAAAACTTGCCCTCGCGCTCTTGCAGATTCTTGAGGAAACCGTTGGTTTCTCGAAATGTTCATCAAATTGTAGCAAACGTGCTTCTCGCGCGCGCATGTCGAAATCGCTCGAACGCCCTTACGCGCGTGCTGTCGCCATAATCCCTTGCAACAAATTGGACATGGACACAGTGCACACGCGCGCGTCGTCGCGCGCGCATGCGGGAATCCTTCAAACACCTTCGGGTGCCCAGATCACGACTTCGTCGGGCTTCACAAGGATTTCGCAACACGATTGCATCTGACAAAACGTCCGCGGAAGTATGTTTTTCCGTACGAACTAGTTTACCCCCCCATGTAAATGAGCCTCCCCTCGCACTTGTGCTTAATAACTATACATCCGCAGTGCATCCTGGGGCCCTCAGGGGCAATAGAAATTGGTTTACACCTTCGATGATTGTACCATTCTCGACTTCTTGGGCTTCAAACACCCCACCCAAGACCGCCCCAGAGGCCTGCAAGACAGCCCCACGACGATCCAAGAAGCCTCCAAGAGGGCCCTAGGCCGGCCCCAGGGTGGCCCAAAAGGCCCCCAAGACAGCTCAAAGATTGCCGCAGTGGGCCAGAAGACGGCCCAAGAGACACCCCCAGGACGGCTCTTGGAGACTCGCAGAAGGCACCAACAAGACGGCCCAGAGAGGCCCTCCAAGACAGCCTCCGCAGGCGCCAGGCGGCCCCAGCAAGCCCCTAAGCAGCCCAAAGATGACCCCTGGGGGCCCCCACGAGACTCCAAAAGGTCTCGAACGCACAGACTCCACATAGTCCGCATGTGCACCCCGCGAAGCGACAGGAGTCCACGGATCCGGGAAGGTTTCCCCGGAAACATGGCGCCGAGGCCGCATGCTTCGGCTGCGCAACGCGCCTATCCTGCACGGAAGCGGCACGCCGTCCCTTAGGCACGCCGTCCCCTTAGAGGGGGGGGGGGGGCGGCCCCCCCGTGCGTACTCCACCTGTTTGGAACAGGCGCCAAAAACAGCCGAAATCTACTCCATGGCGGGGGGGGGCGAGGGCCCGCGCCGATCGGCAGGTGCGAGGGCCCGCGCCGATCGGCAAAGCAACGCATACAGGCACGATGTCTGAGCCGCTCGCCCCCGCCCAATGGCTGCGCCGCCTCGGGTGCGCCGCGCGGAAACACGGGCCAGAGGGGCGAGCGAGAGCGAGGCTCCCTCCGCGCCGACGGGGCGGGGCCCGTGGCAGCTCCCCCCAGGGGGGCCCGAGCGAGCGAGCGACCGGGCCAGGAGCGAGCGAGCGGGCCTCTGCGCGCGCGCGAGCAGGGCTGGCGAGCCCCCCGCGGGCCAGGAGCGAGAGCGGGCGGCCGGCCCCCGCCCCCCCCCCCCCCTCCAGCGCGGAGGGGGGCGGCGCCGTGTCCGCGCCCACGGAGACCGCCAGCACGCCCACGGCCCAGATGGTCAGCATCAGCAGCGCGCCGTGCGCGTCGCCGAGGTGCCTCCCCATCCCCGCTCGCGTCGGCGAGGGCCGCAGGACCAACGACTAGGCCGGGCGTGTCCTCCCACAGGCGGGGCTTGGACGGCAAGTGAAGAGTGGCCACCAAAAGATATCAAAACATACCACAAAAATCCACAAACCAATAGTCAGACATGCCACAAACATCGTCCCCACATGAGGTGCATGTTTGGGTATGTGTTTGCACACTCCTCCTGTAGAGGGACACGCCCGACGGAAGCCAAAACGACTGGGCGCAGCCCCGCCCCCCCCCCTGGCGGCGCTGCAGCGCCAGGGGGGGGGCGCTCCGCCAGACGGGGGGAGAGAAACAACAAAAAAACGCCGAAGAACACCTCGCAGGGTGGGCGCCCTGGTCCTCCTCGCCCCGGGGCGTCCTCCTCCTCCTCCTCCTCCTCCTCCTCCTCCTCCTCCTCCTCCTCCTCCCCCTCCCCCCCTCCCCTCCCTCCCTCCTTCCTCCTCCTCCTCCTCCTCCCTCCTCCTCCTCCTCCTCCTCCTCCTCCTCCTCCTCCTCCTCCTCCTCCTCCTCCTCCTCCGCCTCCTCCTCCTCCGCCTCCTTCTCCAAAGTCCTCCTCCTACTCCTCCTCCTTCTCCTCCTCCTCCTCCTCCAAAGTCCTCCTCTTCCGCCGCCTCCTCCTCCTCCTCCTGGAGGCAAGGCGTTGTCTGAAGCAGGGGGGCCCCCCGCACCTGCGGCAGAAAAGCATGAGGACTGACCCTCCCACGGGCACTGCCAGACGTGATGGACTTGCTTTCCACCACCACAACCAGAAGTTGGAGGGGGAGAGGGTCCTCCTCCTCCTCCTCCTCCTCCTCCTCCTCCTCCTCCTCCTTCTCCCCTCCAACTTATGGTGATGGCGGTGGGAAACAAGCCCATCAAGACAGCGCGGGCCACCTGGCGCACGGTGCTCAACCTGGGCCAGGAGGAAGCGGAGGCCGCCCAGTCTGGCCTGGCATGGCGGCCTCTGGGCCTGGAGACGGCCGCCGAGCTCCACGGGGTCCAAAGCCCGCAGGCGGCGATCGACGCCTGGAAGCGCCGCAAGGGCGCCTCGGGGCCCCGGCTGGCGCACCCCTTCCTCCTCGGGGGCGGCTCGCCGCCGAGCGGTGGGCCGCGCCTGGGTTGGGGGGGTTGCGCCAGCTCCTGACCATTGCGCTCCGGCCGCGCGGGAGACCCGCGCGCGCCGCTGGGAGAGGAGGAGGAGAGCCATGCAGGACTATACACAGGAAAAGGGGGTTCCAGGCCCTATGAGCACAGTGGCGCCTTTGGCGGCGAGGGGCACCTCGGCGAGAGGAGGATCGCCCCCTCGAATGGGGAGCGCCAGCAGCTCGGCTGGACGGAGGAGCGGTGCCGCGACGCGCAGGGGGAGGGAAGACGTGGAGGGCGGCCGAGGGCCTCGCCAGGGTGAGCGGCCCGCGCGGGGCGCCGCGGTCTGCCAGCAGTAGGCGGTTCCGCGGGCGGGGTGCTGCGGCGCCGCCACGGCTGGGCAGGGCCCGCTCGGACCGGCGGGTGGAGCCGCGTCGGGGCCGGCCAGGAGGGGGGCGTCCAAGGAGGGGGGGCGCAAATCATGGCCGGCGGCATGTGCTCGGTCCAAGAGGGGGGACGCACTGAAATAAGAAGAGGCGCCATGAAATCTGGGGAGACACTCTGTCCCTCGACATAGTCCGGGGAGGGTGCTTGTAGTCCGGGGGAAGGGTACCTGTGGTCCAGGGGAACCAATAGTCCGGGGGTGGAGGGTACTTACAGTCTACGGGGGAACGCGTGTTCACGCGTCAACGCACGCGTGGATGTAGTCCTCGGGGGGGTACATGTGGCCAGGGGGGGACCGGTAGTCCGGGGGTACCTGTAGTCCGGGGGAGGGGTACCTTAGTTCGCGGGGAGAGGGTACCTGTAGTCTGCGGGGTACCTGTAGTCCGGGGACCCAGAACTATTGAGGGACACAGGGTATCACTGCCCCCGCCATGATATCCACCTCCGTCGGGATAGCCTGCGGCAGCGTCCCTCGCTGTCGTCCAGACTTCCTCGCTGTCGGCAGCGTCGTCGTCCTCGCTGTCGTCCAGATCTTCCCTCTCCACCCATATCCTGCCCTCACCCCTGTCCTCAGAGTCCCACCCCGCCTCGTCCTCACGATCCCGCCCTTCCTCCTCCCTCCCTCATGCACCAAGTGCCTGCAAACCTCAGGGGGCTTGAATACGGTTAACAAGTGGCACGCGTGCATTGGCTCTTGCACAAAAGGGAGGAGGAGGAGGAGGAGGAGAAGGAGGAGGAGGAGGAAGAGAGGAGGAAGAGGACGAGGAGGAGGAGGAGGGGGGGGAGAGAGGGGACGAGAAATCGGAGAAGGAGTGCCCACAGAGGGCCGCAAGAAGGGCGTCAGAGGGCGAACTCGAGGAGACAGGGGCGGGGGGGGCGGGCCAGGAGGGGGCGGTGCGACGCCGAAATCAAATGGTTGGGGCGGAGGGGGGCGTGATGGACAAGGCACTGGGCGGCTGGGGAGGGAGGAATGGTCGGGGGGGCGGGACGGTGGGGGCAGTGCGACGCCGAAATAAGATTGTCGGGGCGGAGGGGGGCGGGGTGCAGTGGGCGGGTGGGTAGGGGGGTTCGGAAGGGTCGTGGGGGCGAAGGTGGGGGCGGTGCGACGCCGAAATAAAATGATCGGGGCGGAGGAGGGCGGGGTGCAGAGGGCACTGGGCGGCTGGAGAGGGAAAGGGGCGGCGGGGGGGCGGAACGGCGGGGGCGGTGCGACGCCGAAATTAAGAGGTCGGGGCGGGGGAAGGGGCGGGGGGAGAGGGCACTGGACGGGGGGCGGTGTCGCGCTGGTGGTGGTGGTGGTGGTGGTGGTGGTGGTGGTGGTGGTGGTGGTGGTGGTGGTGGTGGGTGGTGGTGGTGGTGGGTGGTGGTGGTGGTGGTTGTGGTGGTGTGGTGGTGGTGGTGGTGGTGGTGGTGGTGGTGGTGGTGGTGGTGGTGGTGGTGGTGGTGGTGGTGGTGGTGGTGTCACGCTGGTGGTGGTGGTGGTGGTGGTGGTGGTGGTGGTGGTGGTGGTGGTTGGTGTATTACGTGGTCGGGTCGGAGCGGGGTGGGGTGGACAGGGCACTGGACGAGGGGCGGTGTCACGCTGGTGGTGGTGGTTGGTGTAGACAATGGTCGGGGCGGAGCACTGGACGGGAGGCGGTGCCACGCTGGTGGTGGTGGTGGTGGTGATTCGTGTGGGTGAGTGGGTTGAGGGGCGGGGAGGGCGGGGCGGTGGGGGCGGTGCGGCGCCAAATAGAGTGGTCGGAGCTCTAGACACCCTGTGCAAGATAATAAAAACAGATGGAACATCGATCCTCCACCTCCTCCTCCACGAGAGCCGATCCGCGGACTTAACGCTGTGATGATGATGGTGATGAAGATGAGAATGATGATGAGAATGATAATGTTGCTGATGATGGTGGTAGTGGTGATGCTGATGCGGATGACGATGATGATGATGATAATGGTGATGCTGATAATGAGAATGGTGGTAGTGGCGATAGATGGTGAAACAAATGTTGCTCGGTATGGTGATGATGATAAGGATGGCGATGACGATGATGACGATGGAGATGATGCTTTTAATGGTGGTGATGATGATGGCGATGGCTGATGATGATGCTGAGGATGATAATGAATATGGTTATGATAATGCGGGTGATGGCAATGATGAGTATTATGACGCTGATGATAATGAGCATGCTGTTGTCGGTGATGATGATGATGATGATGATGATGATGATGATGATGATGATGATGATGATGAGTATGGTGATGGTTAGAGAATGTATGGTGATGCTGATACTGATGGTAATGATGATGATGGTGATGATGCTGATGGTGCTGTTGATTGTGGTGGGCTGGTGATGGTGATGGTGATGATGATGATGAAAATGATGATGGTGGTGATGACGATGATGGTGATGATGCTAATGGTGATGATGATGGTGATGATGGGGTGGATGATGATGATGATGATTATGATGATTATGATTATGATGATGATGATGATGATGATGATGATGATGATGATGATGATGATGATGATGATGATGATGATGATGATGATGATGATAATGATGATGATGATGATGCGAATGATGACGATGATGAGATAGATGGTCGATCGGTCGGTCTGCTCACAGGCACCACAGGTCGGAGCGCATGGCCCTAGATGGAGAGGAGGCGATACAACAGGGAGGAGGAGGGACGAGGGACGAGGGAGGAGGGACGGAGGAAGAGTCCGTGATGAGAGAGGAGGAACGAGGAGAGAGGGAGGATGAAAGAAAAGGACGGACTGAGGAGGAATGGTGCCTGGAGGATGAAGGGTGAGGCTGCGTGGATAGGGGAGCCTGGAGAGGAGGGAGGAGGGAGGAGGAGGCAGGCGGGAGCAGGAGCAGACCACTGGAGAAGAAGGGGCAGGAGGGAGCGCGACGAAGCGGAACCAAGAGTGGGGAGGATGGTGGCTGGGAGAACACTGCGATGCTGGAGCGGGAGCGGGGAGAAACGAGAGAGAAGGGGAAGTGCTGCCGCGGCCGAAGGCGGAGGGCGCCCGAGAGAGCACGGGAGCCTCCCGAGGAGAGAGCGCGGCACGAGCAGGCCAGAGGACGAACGGTGCGAACAGCCAGTGGCCGACACGGCAGACGGCCGCTCTCGGCCGGAAGGGCTCTCGGCCAGCTCCTCGGTGGTGACGCCGCTGGTGAGGGCGCGCGGAAGGGGCGAGGGAAGGAGCAGAGAGGGAAAAGCAGGAAAGGAGGAGGGAGAAAGAGGAGGAGGAGGAGGAGAGGAGGAGGAGGAGGAGGAGGAGGAGGAGGAGGAGGAGGAGGAGGAGGGGAGGAGCAGGAGGAGGGAGCGGGACGAGGAGGGCCACGGCGACGAGACGAGAGAGAGAGAGAGAGCAGGAGGAGGCAGGGAAGGAGAAGAGGCACTGTAAGGGGGGGAGAGGAGCAGCAGCAGGAGGGAGGAGGGAGCGAGGACGGGGGGGGGCAGGCGGGCGGGGCGGAGCGGGAGGCAAGGAGGCCTGCAGGCAGGGAAGAGGAGGAGAACCACCAGCAGCAGCAGCAGCAGCAGCAGCAGCAGCAGCAGCAGCAGCAGAGGTGGCAGAAGCAAAGGGGCGGAGCGGAAGGCGGAGAGGCAGGAGGAAGCAGGGGAGGGAAGGAGGGGAGGTAAGAGGAAAGGAGGGGAAGGACGGAGGAGGAAGGGAAGAAAGGGAGAGAAGAAAGGGGAAGGAAGAGAAGGGAAGGGGAGAGAAGGAGGGGGGGAAAGGAGGAAAGGAAGGAGGGGAGGAAAGGAAGGGGGAGGAAGGGAAGGAGCAGCAGAGGGGGGAGGCATCGGGGCGGGAAAGGAGGAAAAGCACGGCGACAGGGGCGGGCGAGGAAGGGGAAGGAAGGGAGAGAGCGGGAGGGGAGGGCTGAGAGGGGAACGGGGCGATGTGGAGAAGCGATCTGTGTGGAGAAGGAACCAGCGTTGAGAGGCCGGAAGAGGGAGCGGGAAAAAAGAAAGCGAGCGGAGGAAAACGAGAGGAGAGAGATGAGACGGAGTGAGCAAGAAGGCGGACGGAGGAGGGAAGACGGGGAAGAAGGCGAGAGCAGGATGAGCACGGCGCAGAGAAGAGTAAGAGGGCGGAAGGCGGCGGACAACGACGAGGGGAAGGGAGGGTAGAGAAGTGAGGATGAGGAGAAGGAACAGGAAGATTGAAGGGGCCCAGGGAAACACGAATAAATCGGCACAGATCCCATGATCCCCCATATGTCTCCATAATGTTCTGGATGATCGTCGTCCCCTCCACTTCTCATGTTTTCCATCTGTGTTCATGGGAATCGACGTTTGCTTTGGGGCCTGTCCCATTGTTTCCCCTCCTGAAGAAGGGGAACAAAGCGAGAGCGAGAGCCAGCCTCTGACCGTTAGGCGGGGCTCCCGCTCGTCGTCGAAAGGGAGGGATGGAGGGAGGGGAGGGAGGGAGGGAGGGAGGGAGGGAGGGAGGAGGAGGAGGGAGGAGGAGGAGGAGGAGGAGGAGGACGAGGAGGAGGAGAAGGAGGAGGAGGAGGAGGAGGAGAGGGAGAAGCGAGAGCCAGCCAGCAAAACGCAAGAGGGCGAGAGGGAGCGGCCCAGAACTTTCCGACGCGGCCCGATGTTGTTGCGGGGAGCCTCACCGGGATGGAGGAGGAGGGGGGAAGAAGGCGGATCGGCGGCGGGAGCTGGCGTTGAGCAGGGACCGACCGTCCCGGCATTCTTATAGGCCTACCACGAGATGTTCTTAGAACCCAAAGATGTTCTAAGAACGCAGACATCCCTGGAACAAGAACCCGATGTACCAAAACAAGACAGTCCCAGCCAGAAATGCTCCAAGAACTTGTCGTAGAAACCACCAAAGGCTCTTGGAACATTGTTTGGTCGGCCTATAGGCACGCCAGGATGCCTCGCCACTGCTTGATCACGGGCCCCAGAGGCATTGATGATGGGCCTGTTTTCCACCACCACCACCAGAAGTTGGAGGGGGAGGGGGTCCTCCTCATCCTCCTCCTCCTCCACCTCATCCTCCTCCACCTCCTCCTCCTTCCCTCCCTCCCTCCTTCCCTCCCTCCCTCCCTCCCTCCTTCCCTCCTCCTCCTCCTCCTCCTCCTCCTCCTCATCCTCCTCCTCCTCATCCTCCTCCTCCTCCTCCTCGTCCTCCTCCACCTCCTCCTCCTCCTCCAACTTCTGGTGGTGGTGGTGGAAAACAGGCCCATCAATTGACCGGCCGCCGCGCCCGGCTCCGCTGGGGCGCGTCGGGTAGACCGCCGCCGCGCCCCCCCCTCGGCAGGCTGAGGCTGACACGTGTCAAGGCGTGGCAGGGTGCCACGGGGCCGTCCGGTGGGATTTCGGCACGGTCCACCCGTATAATCCCACCAGCCCTTTGGGCGTGAGTGGTTTAGCGAGCTCTCTCTGTTCTCAACCCCCCTTATTCCCCCCCTCCCCCTACCCCCTCCCCCTGGGCCTGGAGAGGGCGTCTCGCGGGTGGTTGGAGGGGTCTTTTTCGACTCCTGGGAGGGCTAAAATTCTACACCCCTCACGAGGATTCTGGCCCCGACGGGGGGGGGGAGAAAAGTGCTCGCCCCATCTGTGATCGATCGCCCGACAGATGGCCCCAAGATTCCTCCCAGAACCCTCCCAAAGAGCCCCAAGAGGCCCCAAGAGGCCTCCAAGAGGCCCCCAAGATGCCCCCAAGAGGCCCCCAAGAGGCCCCAAGAGGCTCCCCCGAG